TATATATATGTGTGTGTGTGTGTTGAAATTATGTAACTGTCGTTACTCTATTAAGTTGAGAAATAAATTGGTTGTTTCAAGAAGAGCAAAGAAATTAGTAGTCCAACAAACTTATGCACAAGCTTGCTCTATGTAATTATGTCTTGCCAGAATTACATGTCCCATCTACACAAGAAATTAGACATTACACAAGTAATTGACAACCTCTGTGTTCATATGAACAGTGGATTTATTTGTAGCTAGGAGCTGTCTATTTTTAATGAATTTAATATACTTAGGCATGTAATTGCCTTTTAAGTGACTTGATAGTGTAGATATATTTTTATACTCGTCAGCCTATATTAGTTAATCCCGAAAAACTTATATATTGAACTCTATTCTTAAGTACCCTTTTTGGTTTAATTCATGTAAATATCTGATTACTTGTGTGGAGTCTTTGCTCCATTTTTTTAGTATTCTCTAGTCCAATTAAAATGCCAGGGAAAGATATGCTTAAGTGCTAACAGTTGTCAAAATTATTAATATTTGTTTTAATGCAAAATCACTAATATTTGTTTCAATGCTTTTGTGCACATTAATTTTGAAAAAAAGAAAGAAGAATTATTAGCTTCCCAAAGTGCATCTGTTGATGGAGAAACAAATTCAACTAGCGAGCTTTCTCAATTAAGTGAAATGGATATTTGGGTGCTATCAGTTGGTGGAAAGAAAAAAGGAAGAGTTGCAGGTCTTGGCTCATTGGGTCGATCTGTAAAAGTGCCTAAGCAAACAACATCTGATGTGTCGGAAGAAGTTGATGATCGGATTACAACGCAAGGTCATGCGTTAAATGCTGAGTTATATAATCAGTTGGAAGAAGAACATCGCCAAAATGAAGAGATGAGGCGCCAAAATAAAAAGATGAGACGCCAAAACAAAAAAATGAGGAAGGAGTTAGGTAACACAAATGAGAAATTAGCAGCACTGGTAAAGCATGTGGGTTACTCGGCATCATCTTCGAATGCACAACCATCATCTTCGGAAGACAATCAAGATTCACAAAGTGATAATGATGATAACAACAACTCGGTAGATGAGTAAGATTATGATTGAGATACTAAGTATGATTAGGATTGAGATACTCGGTAGTACTATTTAAGATTTACAGTTTAGACTTTTAATTATTGTTCATTTAAGAATTATGCATTATTAATTATTAATTTATGGATCATATTTTGGCAATATATTACTTCAGATTTGTGCAGAGTTGTTTGTTTGAAAAAAAAAAAGAATGAATATCATATGTCCATTGAATTGTGTGGAATATAATTTGGGACTAAATATTAATAAATTTGCTTTTGAAAAATGTACAAGTTACTTGTGGATTTTCATTGGGAAGTGCCCTGAAGCAGATTAATCTTTTGTTGGGAATTTACCTGCAAATATACAGTACATGGGGATTTTGTTAGGAATTCTCCTGCGAAATTATCATGTCAAATTCCCACGAAATTCCCTTTTTTCACGAAATGTTTATTGAATATTTCCTGCAAATTTACTTGGAGGTTTTGCTGCGAAATTACATGCGAAAATTTGCCATGAAAATCCCTAGGAAAACTCCTTTCTTTCACAATTTTTTACCAAAATTTACTTACGAATTTTGGTATTTCTTGCGGAAAAGTCCGCAAGTAACTTACGTAGGGATTTAACATTCCCAGGTAATGCACCTGCGGCCAATTTATTCCCAGGTAATATACCTGGGGAATTTAAAATTCGCAGGTAATAGTTACCCATGATCTTTATTCCTGCGGATTCCCGTTTGCATGAAAATCCTCAGGTAAATATTTTACCTACGAATTTTACATTATAATCCCTAAAAAAAATCCCCATGTAAATGGCACTTTTCTTGTAGTGAGGTCTTCGTGCTTTTAATATAGTATAGATTAACTAATTTAACTTGGTTTCTAAAGTAATATATTTATTTATATATTTTAGAGGGGTACTTTGGTCAGTCAACTTTTGGACTTGGGTATTAACATATACATTTAGGGCCTTCAAGTTTTTGGGCCCAAAACAATTGCTTGAGTGGATGATGGTTGATTTACGTAGGGAAACTGACACTGGATATCCGTTTTCAAAATAATAGCAAAAAAAATAATATATTTTTATTCTGTATGTTATATACTAAAATTATACAAATTTTATACACTTTTTCGGCTACCAAATGTAAATAGTTTCTTGCGCGGGCTACAAGTAATAATACCCCATTTATGTAAATGTTCCTTTTGTCTCTATTTTATAAAGTTGTGGAAATATAGGCCTTGTCCAGAAAACGTTAGACTCAGATTCTAGTATTTGCTCATACTTTTTTAGTTTGCTCATACTTAGGTCTAACGTTTGAAATAATTTTAGCCCGTGGTCTAACTTTTTCTTATAAGATTTTCAACTTGCCCAAGATTAGACGTGATCTTAGAAGTCCATAAATTCCAAAAGAAATAAAAAGAGAGTCATTTGCTAAACATAAATGGACTTTTCTTATCTATCGATATATTTGCTTCCAACTTCTCTCGACCAGATACGACCCGTGTTAGCCCCTTGACAAAGTTCCTCGGTAGGTGTGGGCTGTGACAAGGATTTTCATGATGGCCTTGGCACACAACCTGAAAAATGGAGCAACATCATGACGGGCAGCTCGGTATGACGGACTATGCGGGGTTGACAAACGCACCTTGAATGGAAGCAAGGCGCATTTCACTTGGACGTGCGGGTTGGCATAACAATGGCAAGGCAAAGGCATGTCAAGCAGGGGCAAAGACATGGCAAGGCAAGGCAAGGCAATGGGGGACAAGCAATGACAATTGATGCGGGCAGATTTGACCAAGTTGGGGACGACTTGACATAACCGGGCAGCTTTGGCAATGAGCGTGTGCGGCTAAGTCAGTGGGCGGCAAGCTGTGGCCGTGACATTGGTGCAGAGCAGTGTCAAAGGGCAAGGCTGGGCGCAATGCCAGTCTTGGGCACCAGCTGAGCAAAACAGGCACATGCAATGCACAGGCAGCAGTTGCAAAACGTGTGCAAGGCACATGGGAGGCAGTTGGTGGTTACAAACCATATCCAAGACATGGCTGATCATGGGCTAAAAGTGTGAGCACGTTTTTGTAGTTGTCTTAACATGTTTGCCCATAAGTTGGGGCTTGTCAACTGATTGTTTAAATCTTGCCTTATAAATATGTGCATAGGCTGTCCTAAACAAGGCAGAAAAACATAGTCTTGTGGCAAGTGTTAGCCAATTTCGTCTAAGTGTATTCCTAAGGGAAGGAAAACGTTTTTGGGGCAGGGAACTAGGGTGTTCTTTGTTCTTGGCCATAGGGTTGGCTTATTGTGTTCTTGTATTCACATTTTAATACAAGTTGGAGAGAAATTCCTATAATTTTCGTGTGTGCCTTTTAATTCATTTTGCTGCCTAAATTTATCTGGAAATGAGAGAGATGTGAGTGTCAATCATTCTGTCAGCATGCTCAAAGAGTGCCTTCCAGAACCAGGGGTATTCGAGCCTGCTGCGTACGATTAGCCAGCCTTGCGGCGGCAAAAGGATTAGACGTCCCCCCATGCTACTGTTCCCTGCGCCGGACCTTGAGTCGAATTGATCGTGTCATGTGCAACATCCATCAATGATGGTCTAAGTCTCAAACGTCCTAAAAATAAAACTAAGTGTTGAAAAGGCTTAAGTCAAGGCTGGGCTTGACTGCCGCACGGAGGTGAACCTCGGGCAAAATTCGAGTGACATAAATCACCCATGTGACAACTGGTATCAGAGCGTGGCTGGATCGGGTCAAAGACACGACGTTCGTTGGTTTAATCTCATGAAAGATGGCTGGTGGCAACGCAGAACTGAGGGAAAAAGTTACTGCATTGGAGGCACTCGTCGGAACTGTTGATGGGGATCAATTTCTGACCATTGTGACTCGTCTCGCCTATCTTGAGGCCAAGATGAACAGGCTGAACCAAGAGTGCATAGATCTGAAAGCGGAAAATGTGTTGCTACGTCATGCTGTTGGCAATGATGAAGCACAGCGTGGGGAAGATCGTACCAAGGTCAAAATTCCGGAGCCTAAAGAGTTTAATGGGGCAAGGAGTGCCAAGAAACTCGAAAATTTCCTGTGGGATATGGAGCAGTAGTTTCAGGCTGCCCATGTGCGAGATGAGGACAAGGTCACCATTACGACTATGTACTTGGTGGACGATGCAAAGCTTTGGTGGCAGACGCGCGTGGCAGATGATGTAAGTGCTGGTAGGCCGATGATTGACTCTTGGGAAGGGCTGAGAAAGAGTTGAAGGATCAAATCTTTCCTAGCACTGCGGGCTGGATTGCTAGAGATCGTTTGAAGAAGTTGAAACATGCTGGATATAAGCAACATGTCTGAGGAAGACAAGCTGCACAATTTCCTTTATGGGTTGCAGTCGTGGGCGCAGATGGAATTGCGAAGGCAGAACGTGAAAGACCTTCCTAGTGCCATCACTGTTGCGGATGCGTTGGGTGATTTCCGGCTGGGACAAGATGGTTCTGATTTCTCTACTACTTCAAAGTCCAAAAACGGGAACAAGGACAAGGCAAAAGAGTGGAGGAAAAGCGGAAACGACAAGGGTAATGCTGTTGAGGGCAATGGCAATGGAAAGGAAAAGCAATGTGCTGGACCTTCGACAAACAAAGGACAAAACAGCAAGTTTGATGGCTGTTTTATTTGCAAAGGACCACACATGGCGAGGGACTGTCCAAAACTTGAACGGCTTTCTACTTTGTTTGCTGAGAAAAGGGTGAAGATGAGCCGAACGAGGAAGAACATGAGTATGAGGCAGCATATTTGGGGCCTATGGTGGTGCTGAAAAATGCGAAAACTGCTTCGTCGAGGATGACAAATTCTTCGGGTGGGGGTGGTTTGTTAGCCCCTTGGCAAAGTTCCTCGGCGGGTGAGGGTTGTGACAAGGATTTTCATGATGGCCTTGGCACACAACCTGAAAAATGGAGCAACATCATGACGGGCAGCTCGGCATGACGGACTATGCGGGGTTGACAAACGCACCTTGAACGCAATGGAGGACAAGCAATGACAATTGATGCGGGCAGATTTGACCAAGTTGGGGACGACTTGACATAAGCGGGCAGCTTTGGCAATGAGCGTGCGTGGCTAAGTCAGTGGGCGGCAAGTTGTGGCCATGACATTGGTGCAGAGTAGTGTCAAAGGGCAAGGCTGGGCGCAATGCCAGTCTTGAGCACGCAGCAGTTGAGCAAAATAGGCACATGCAGTGCACAGGCAGCAGTTGCAAAAACGTGTGCAAGGCACATGGGAGGCAGTTGGTGGTTACAAACCATATCCAAGACATGGCTGATCGTGGGCTAAAAGTGTGGGCACGTTTTTGTAGTTGTCTTAACATGTTTGCCCATCAGTTGGGGCTAAAAGTGTGTTCTTTGTTCTTGGCCATAGGGTTGGCTTATTGTGTTTTTGTATTCATATTTTAATACAAGTTGGGGAGAAATTCCTGTAATTTTCGTGTGTGGCTTTTACTTCATTTTGCTGCCTAAATTTATCTAAGTCTCAAACGTCCTAAAAATAAAACTAAGTGTTGAAAAGGCTTAAGTCAAGGCTGGGCTTGACAGCCGCACGGAGGTGAACCTCGAGCAGAATCCGAGTGACATAAATCACCCATGTGACAACCCATACAGTCACCTGTGCTTCATGTTCAATGCTAAGAATTTCTTACTGCTGCTTGCGAAAAATCTTGTAATATAATTTTCCTATTTACATTGAAAATGCTGACTACTACAACATGAGGGTGTACCTACTTTTATTATATATTAGAAGTTCACAAACAAATAAGATTATGAGTGCAGAGGTCAGAAAATCTGCTCAATGAATTTCAATCAAGATTACATTGATGATTTGTCAATCATCTACAATTATCTCCAAGACAGACACAATAAACATCGAACTAGTTTAAACTTTGATTGGAAAAAAAATGAAATACAAAAAGAAAAGCATTAAAAGTAATCAACAAAAGACACTATTCCCTATATAAATAGAAACAACTTTACTAGGACATTATTC